TTGTTCTTAGTGTTTAACGTCCGCTTCCACCGAAGATGATGTCACAGATAAGTTGTCACATTTTCATTTTTGTTCTTAGCGCACGCGTCTTTCCTGTGGAGAGAAACCGGAGTACCCGGAATAAACCCACGAGGTTGAGAAGGCAAGCACATTGAAACTATTCTATTAGATTATTGTCATTGATATGGGATGTGTCTTGGTTGGCTATTAAAGTATCATCTAATGTTGGTCATTTCATGTCAAGTGGGCCAGTGCATGTCGGGTGACCCCTAACCCGGAAGTGGACCACTGCATGTCGGATGACCCCTAATGTGAAATTGGTAAGTTATATGACTCTAGCATTAATATTGCCTGAGATATGACCTTTTTAATCTGGAGACCTATTCGTATGTTTTGAAACTACTGTTCTAAGACCTGATTTTGCTGCACTATTTTTATATCTTCTAATTAGACAATATTCTTCAAATTTGGAATAACATTTTGTCGACTATGTATGGCGTGCATTACTTGTGAGAAACCAGTATTTGGAAACCAAGTATGAATTTTACTTCAATATATTAGATTGAACGTTGAGTAAATTCCTAACTTAAGTCTGAGAATGCTTTGTGAACTCGGGACTTGATCTCATTCATTCAAGGGAGGTAAGAAACTCTTCATCTGGGGCAGACCATCATTAATTTCCCCATTGACTTCAATGGGCTGAATGCTTTTCACTACAGACAGAGAAACAAATGGCCATGTCTTTGCACTAAAATTTGTATGAGGTTGACCACCAAAATTTTGAGATACACAAACTTGAAGAAGCATACTAAAAACATGTAACTAGTTGCCGTACATATCACCGTAGCCAACCTGATAACCCCGTTATCCCCCCGCCTCAAAATCATGAATATTTACCAAAACATGACAGAAAATGTTAATTGAAACCCTCTTCGTCCATTCTTGACCAAAATATCAACAAAATTGGACATGCAAAAGGGGCGAAAAGAGACAGAGAGAATTGCTATAAATAGACGAACTACAATTTGTGGGTACCGGGATGGTGAAAATTAATGGTGGTCTGCCTCCATCTCATTCATTCAAGGGAGGTAACAAACTCTTGATCTCATTCATTCAAGGGAGGTAACACACTAAAAGAACAAAAGAATGCTTACAACCTCGCATTGAGATATTTTATATCTAGTTCATGAAGAAAATACCGTGCTAAATGGTGCAACGGGAGAACTTGCCGTCTGAAAAAATAAACCTAACCCATGACCCACCTAGCGTGCCCCACAGTTTTTATAAGTGGCCCAGCCTGGCCCATGACCCAACTACAGTGTCCCAATTGTGACCTAGAGTGACTCACTATATTTATTCGTGACCTAGTTTACTCTAGAGTGTCGACCATTTTCATGCGTTGCCTAGAGTTCCCCACAAATTTTATGCGAAGCCTAGGTTGTTTTTTTCAATAATTAGTCTTGAGTTTTCGGTATTTAGTGATTTTTCAGTAAATAGGGTTATTCGGATTTTTTCGGGAATTAGTACAACACGTTAATGATTATTGGGGTATTTTTCGTGTTTCCTGGGTATTTTGGGTAATTTTCTATGTTTTGGGGGGATTTTCCCTGTTTTTGTTTTTTTCGGTACTTTCCGGATTTGTTCAGTATTTAGTACTGCCGGTGATGAAAATAAAGGGTTTCTTAATTATTTGGATGGGACAAACAATAATTAGACTACAATACTGTATGTAATTTAAACATTTTTTAATCCATTGAATATGGACGAGGGAGGTATTTCCTTTTTACTGTCTTCTGGGGATACACTCAATTCAAATTCACCATAATAATTTGGTTCTGGCATTTTAATACGCAGCCACCTATAAATAAACAATAGTATATACATGTATAAACATTGGTTTTGATAGAACACTCACCGAAATGAAATAAGGTTTTCTGCACCGATTGGGCCAATAAAAACGGGACACTCATCTTAGGCGATGGCGGTGTGGAAGGGGGGGGGGAAGGGAAGGAACATTTCTGCTGACATGGGTTTTTGACCTCTGTTTGTCTGGCGATATGAACATGTAAACATAAAATGCATTCAAAGACGTTGACTCGTTTTGTTTGTGTTATGTCTTGCTCGGCATGCCAAGACAATTAGTCAGGCGCTGGCTCACTAGCTTTGGAGGTCCCATGTTTGATCCTGGTGTTGATCCGGAAAGTTTTGGGGTTCTCAATAGGACCTTTGGATGGCACGAAAACCCGAGGCGTAGACGTAACAATATCCCTGACAGTTGGAGCTTAGCATGTACTCATTAAGGTACTTTAATGTACATTTACTTGATGTGGTGATTTCGGGGGTTTTGTTCGTCTCGATCTCTTTGTTAATTAAGTTTTACAAACTTATGTGGCCTATTTCTAAATCTATGTGGCCGACTGTTTTATTTAACCCTACTTTTATTAATGGTACCTTGTGAAATCATTTGTCTGTTCGTGGTGCCTAACGTCTGCTTCCAGACACTTAACTGTTATTGTTGTTATTTGACGGGTTTAACGTCTATTTCCACAGAAGGTGATATCGCAGACATGATGTCTTATCTTTAGTATAATCCAGGTTTCTTTCCTGTGGTCCAGCCTCGTGGGTTTTCTCCGGGTCCTCCGGTTTCCTCCCACTGCTAAAGACCCCTACGCGCAAGCGAATTATTGAAATAAAATTAAACCATATGTTAGTCGAGAAATGACCTAGTTTGTGTCGAGTGGACGTTAAACCCCATTTCTCTCTCCCTCTCTTTCCTGTGGGAGGAAATCGGAGTAACCCATGAGGCGCCCGTATGTCCATGCCACATACGCTTACACTAGGAGTGTAGCAACCCCACCTCCCCACTTCCTTAAAGTGATTAATTGCATCATCAGGCCATCTAAACTCCCCCTAGGATGATTACTGGCATTATCACGCCCCCCCCCCCCCTTATGTTGATTAGCGCATGAGCCCTCACTGCACAACAGACGTGATAAACTGGCCCTGCAGTATGCTACGAAAATAGCATCTTTACCAAATCATATTTCATTTAACATCATATTTAGACCATATCATGAGCATCTATATCTGCTTAAGACTAAAGTTATTCCACCTTTCGGTATTCGCATACAACCCCTTTTGTCTGAGGCTGGTATCAGCCTGGACAGTATTGCGAATACCCCTTTCTTTAGGACTCCACCGTGGGCTATATCTCCCCCAAAGATTGATTTCCATCTTACACAACATAAAAAGAGAGATACTAGCTCTACGGTGTTTCAGTCTCTCTTTCGAGAGCTGAGGTCTAAATATGGTGATTATGCTCCAATTTATACAGATGGTTCGAAAGATGGTGATCGGGTAGCTTCGGCTACCGTGACACCATCTGAGACCATTTCTGTCCGCCTTCCACCTGCTGCTTCCATCTTTACAGCTGAACTCCAGGCCATTCTTCAGGCTTTGGAGTTCATTCAATCAACATCTGATTTAAAATATATAATTTTTACTGATTCTTTGTCCTCACTACAAGCAATAAATAATAAACAGCTTGAACACCCATTAGTAGCAGACATTTATGGTCTGTTACTATCAAACGAGTTCATCAGCAAGGACAGTGTCCTTTGCTGGCTCCCCAGTCACATGGATATAAAAGGGAATGATCAAGCAGATTTGGCTGCCAAGTCTGCCTTAGATCTTCCCTTATTCGAATTTTTAACGCCATACACGGATTTTAAATCCTGTATAAATAATTTTATTTATGACCGCTGGCAACGGTCTTGGGGATCTTGCAGGCACAAACAGACTTCATCACATAAAGCCTCTCCTTGGAGAATGGCCATGCTCCTACAGGTCTAACATGAGAGATGAAGTTGTTTTGTGTCGCTCTCGCATTGGTCATACTTTTTTAACTCATATTTTCATTTTGAAGCGAGAGCCTCAACCGGAATGTGTTCACTGTCATGTTCCTTTGACAGTGAGATACACCTTGATTGAGTGCAAACATCTCAAGTATATTAGATCTAAATACTACCGTTGCCAGTCATTACGTCAGCTATTTGCTCAACCGGAGCTATATGATAAAGTGCTAACATTTTTAAAAGAGACAAACTTTTATTCTCAATTTTAATTGTATATATTTAATCATGTATATCGTTTTAAATATTTATATATGTAAAAGATTTGTTATATATATTTTTAATTAATATATTTTCTGTGATATTTGTTTTTATTTACATATATAAATTCAATTATGTGATATTGTTTTAATTTGTATCGTATATTTCACCATATGGTTGGCGCAATATAGCCCGGTTGGAGCTGACGTGCCATTAAACAACATTTCATTTCATTTATGTTGATTACTTGCATCATCAGGCCACCCCAAATCCCTTAGGGTGATTACTTGCATTATCAACCCCTCCCCCTCCCTTAGGGTGTTTACTTGCATTATCAACCCATCCCAACTCCCCTTAGGGTGATTACTTGCATTATCAACCCATCCCCCTCCCATAGGGTGTTTACTTGCATCATCAGGTCATCACAACTCCCTTTAGGATGATTACTTGCATTATCAACCCATCCCCCTCCCATAGGGTGTTTACTTGCATCATCAGGTCATCACAACTCCCCTTAGGATGATTACTTGCATTATCAACTCATCCCAACTCCCCTAAAGGTGATTTCTTGCATTATCAACCCATCCCAAACTCCCCTGGGGTTATTACTTGCATCACCTGGCCATCCCATCCCGAATTGGGGGGTTGGATGGCTGAATGGTTAGCACGTACGCGCTGTACCATAAAGTCTGTCGTTGAGTCAACTGGCGTGGTTTCGAATCCCCGGTTGTACGTGGCAAGGAGTAGGGTCGCCTGTCCAACCTCGTGGGTTTTCTCCGGGTCCTCCGGTTTCCTCCCACTGCTAAAGACCCCTACGCGCAAGCGAATGATTGAAATGGGATTAAACCATATGTTAGTCCCGAAATCTGGACCTGCTCCATTAAATACTTACAGAGTGATCAGTAATCCTAGAACACAGATGACCACCAGCAACATAAAACAGAAGCCAGGATAGAATGAAAGCGATGCTGGATAGACATAATTAAATATCAAGGTAGCTATTATGGCGGCGATACTTTCTACTGATGCAATTAAACCAAATAATCGCCCTGAAATAAAATCAAAACACGTGGGACTATCTGTAATAATATGTCAGTGATCTGTTACAAGCCATTGTTAAAGGGAGAAATGGTGTTTACCGTCCACTCGACACAAACTGGATCATTCGGGAATTACATATGGTTCAATTTTATCTCAATAATTCGCTTGTTCGTAGGGGTCAATAGCTGTGGAAACCGGAGAACCCAGAGTAAACCTATGATGTTGGACAGGCGACCCGACTCCTTGTCATGTACGAGCGGGGAATCGAAACCATGCCACTTGACTCAATGGCAGACCTTCTGACCCAACGCGCAAGCTTTAAACTATTAGGGAGGTGTCAATCACTGGGGTTAATACTCATGCTGAGTATGACTGCTCGCTAATCGACGAGGCAATGAGCCACGTCACGGTTCCTCATTTCTGTCTGAGCTATCATGTAATAAGAATACTCGAAAACTGTTTCACAAATATTGACGACCCAAAAAGCTTAAATAAATGAATAACTAGAGCATACCATGTTCATCTTTATGTATCTGTTGACTAACGCTAGATCTGATACCCGCAGCTGGATAACCAGTAAACAATGATGCAGCACAACCTGTGAATTTGAATGAAATAGGGTTAAACGTCTTACTTTTCGTCAACAACTAGTTTAAAAAAGAATGGTGCTACTATCAATATATAATGGAAATTTTACTCTGACAGCGGCGTTACTCGAATTCCAACTGTCAAGAGCTCTCTCACGTGCTTGGCAATGAGTAGGGAGTACATGGGTGGACCTTGTTTTTTGTCCCATCCGAACGACTAGATCATTGCATAGACCATCGTACTGCACCACTGACAGGGTACATCATGCTGGGGAAACCTGGAGAACAACGGCAAACGGCGGCATCGAACCTTCGACCGCCTGATTAATGAACCAGCGTCTTACTCACTGAGCCACTGCGATTCCAAAATGAATTTATTTGATATGACATACTAAAAGGTCTGTTTAAATAACCGCTATCTAAACCGTTTATTATAATACATCACAATTCCCCCGAAATGTCTCATTTAAGATGGTCCCAAGCAATATAACTACATCTACAAAATGTCTAAATTATTATGGACCCGGACTCTACAGTATCACGCAAACAGCATAATTAGCCACCACACTGATCAGCAGTGAATATTTGCTAGGCCGCGACAATCACTGATAAGGATGACATCGATGCGACTTAATGAGCCACAAATATTAACTTTTTTCCTCCGACAAATTAAATTCTAAAACATTTTTCTTATGTATTAGAGAAATAAATAAAGACGTTTGAAGTATGTGTAGGTAAATATTATTTCCTATTTTAATGTAAATGGGTATTAAAATGAGTAAAGGGAGCCATTCTGCTCGAATCTATAACGTCTTATGTAAACAATGCACGTGCTATTGAGCCAATGATTGACGCCACGTGATATGACGTCATTTGTTGAAGGCAGTCATCTTTTACAGAGATATTAGAAGATTTTCGTAATACTCGGTGAAACAGATTGCATAACCACACCTACAAGATGTCTTATTTAATATGGAACCGGACACTACGGTATCATCCAAGCAGCATAATCTACTCGATTAGAAGAAGAAGATAAAAGTGCCTCAAAGTGTGTAAAGTTTGCCAGTCAAGGTGGAACAAACACAACACATACCAACCAAATCTGTTGTAATTTATCTGCCTTCTGAATGACCACCTAAAAAAGGGACCGGGGTGTGCCTAATAAAAGAGGGCTTTCACGACCCACAATAATTTTGAAAGAAAAACAATGTACCTGTAAACATTGTCCATGTATATCCGAAGCTGTAGAAAGTAAAACCGACTATTCTTGAACTTATTCCCAGAATAATCAGAGTTGTATCCTTCAAATGAAATTTGTATTTGAATACAGGCATCACAGCAATTAGAGTTATCCCTCTCAGAACGTTCTCAAATCCACTTAGATACCCATACATTGTAGTTGACCAGTTTAATGGATGACGTCTGACGTATAAATACATAATATCTCTTTCACCTGTCATTAAAGAAATATATCATTCCTGACGTTACAGACTATTATATTTATTATATGTGGTATTCCACATTAGTAAATTCACTTGGTATTCTTATAATAAATTCACGTGGTGTTCCATTACCAATATTTGAGAGAGAGAGAGAGAGAGAGAGAGAGGGGAGAGAGAGACACACAGAGAGATTATGCCATTGTGGGATTAATATAGTATGGTATAATTATATTACTATATCGCTTTTGATGCAATGTGAGCTTAATCTGACGTTGCCCCCTCCCCTCCCCCCTTCCCCCCTCCCCCCTTCCCCCTTCCTCCCCCTCCCCCCTTCCCCCTTCCTCCCCCATTAAAACTTGGATACTGTACCTGCTAGTGCAGTCATCATCAACAGAATAATGGCAATCATCGACCCAACGAAAACTTTCACGCCTTCTTCTCTCTCCTTACGAATAAATTTGAAAATTCCTGAAACTCGACTAGCCATCATCCTCGTGCATCCAACGTCATCGTCTGATGGTTTATCAGGTTTTACATCCGGTAGCCATATAAGGACATATAGAATTAATACAACAAGAAGTCCAGTCGTAAAACTGAAGGTAAAAACAAAACCCAGTCGATCCACCATCAGTCCGGAACAAAAAATACCAATAGTTCCGGCTAGAAATATCATGGCCTCTACAAGTGCAATACGGACTGTTTTATCTTCATCTGTTGAAATGTTTGATGTGTAGCTATAAATAGTCATCACCATCGCAGTAAACGATCCGCCACATCCACCGCTAATCGAACCAATCAACAAGTAGCTTGCATCAATGTCAACGTAAACACTATTTAACAAATAAGCAACATTCTCGGCTATGCCAAAACCCGCTGTAATCAAAATGGCTGCTTTACGGCTGACGTGATCAACCAGTGGGCTGAGAAAAAACAAAACAACTATACACGATGGCACCAAACGGGAGGCATTAGTCATCAAGATCAAATGTGACGTCTCTGACTGTACAAGATCTTCTTCGTCTTGATATTCTGACATATTTGCTGAATTGTTTTTCAAATTTTGACAGAACGTTGTATTATATTGGTGGACACAGACTTTACTGTAAATGAGAGCTTGTAGCGCTGGAAAGGCAATGTATAAGCACATCATATAGAGGAACATGATGGGTTCCACGGTGACGCGAAAACCATGACAACAAAACGCCATCTTGATGTTCGATGTTTTAACTGTCCATCACAGTATCCTCTCTGTAAAATACAACATGTATATTTAAAGTGGCCTTTCAAAAACACGAATAAAAAAATGAAGATAAATGAAGAAGAAATGGATATTTTTCGTATAGATTCATGGGGCTTTATTGACGGAACTATTTATGTAATTGTGTTGACCATTCCCTTGTAACAAATTTAAATACAAACATCTGCAACGTATTCACCGCGTGATCGATTTTCATCCAACTTCAGCTGTAACCATAGTCAACATGGCCTACGTGGCCTAGAGTAACCCACTACTGACGCCATTACTGTAAATGTTCTACAATTAACGATAACAGAACATTAATAAAGGAAGACAATCCCCCCTCCACCCCACCACCCCCCAAAAAAATATCCTAGAGTAACCTAAAAACTACTGACGCCATTACTAGAAAAAACAAAACCACTAATAAGGGGAGTTGCCATCTCCCAAAATATCCTACAACAATATCTATACTACGGACGACATTACTGTAGATATTCTGCAAATTATCGATAGAGGAAACACTAATAAAGGGGGGTAATCACCCCCCGACGTAACCCAGACTACGCTCTATACTACTGACGCCATTAGTAGACATGTTTACAAATTAACGATAACGGGAAACTAATAAGGGGAGATAATACACCCCATAAAATATTGCAGTAGGATGCAGACCACCATTAAATTTCACCTTCTACAAATTGTAGTTCGTCTAATTATGGCAATTCTCTCTCTGTCTGTTTTCTCCCCTTTTGCATGCCCATTTTTGTTGATTTGTTGGTCTAGAATGGACGAAGAGGGTTTAAATTAACATTTTCTCCAGGTTTTGGTAAATATTCATGATTTTGAGGCGGAAGGATAACGGGGTTATCAGGTTGGCTACGGTGATATCATGTACGGTAACTAGTTACATGTTTTAAGTATGCTTCTTCAAGTTTGTGTATCTCAAAATTTGGGTGGTCAACATCATACAAATTTCAGTGCAAAGACATGACCCTTTGTTCCTCTGTCTGTAATGAAAAGCATTCAGCCCAACGAAAATTTGGGGAAAAGTTGGAGGTGGGCAAAGAGGCCAGAATTAACATTCAAATCAATGGGGAAAAAATCTTTGTCTGCCTCCAGTAACTTTATACTATGGAAATGAAAATGAAATGAAATGGGGTTTAACTTCCTACTGTTTTCCTCCTAAACTGGGCTAACGAAGACAAGCATAAGCCATAAGTTGCTACCAAAGAAATAAATGTAGTAATCCCCTGTTCCGCCACTACCTGGAGCTGTTACCGACGTCCTTATTTTTAACCTTCTACATACCGCCTGATATGTACACCTATAAAAATTACTGTACCTCAATATTGTATCCAGGTCAACCAAATCTCAACCGCTTTCCATTGCATGTTTTTCTGCTAAATTAAATGACAGTTCAATTTCTGGTTTGATTAAAACAAAAAGCCTAACCAATTGTATTTAAATTTGTACCCATTTACTTATCACTTATCCCAATGAATGATGAGTGACCGTTATCTTTAGACGTATCAATGTTGTTATATATCTCTATCAGTTGGTGGTTCTGTTATATCATCATTATATAGGACGATATAAAAACAAAACATCAATATCTCTAACTACTCAAGGGCGGGGTCGGGTGTACTGTAGATCTCTCTCTCTCTCTCTCTCTCTCTCTCTCTCTCTCTCTCTCTCTCCCTCCTCTCTCTCTCTCTCTCTCTCTCTCTCTCTCTCCCTCCCTCTCTCTCTCTCTCTCTCTCTCTGATACATACGACCCCCCTTCTCTAACACATAGCCCCCCTCCCTCTCGTTGTGAAACATAATATCCCCCCACTCCCACTTGGCCTCCCATAATCCCATAAGCCCCACCCTCTCTCTTTGCGTCCCTGATTGTACGTGGCAAGGAGTAGGGTTGCCTGTCCAACCTCGTGGGTTTTCTCCGGGTCCTCCTCCCCGCCCCCCCTGCAAAGACCCCTACGCGCAAGCGAATTATTGAAATAGAATTAAACCATATGTTAGTCCCGAAATGACCTAGTTTGTGTCGAGAGGACGTTAAACCCCATTTCTCTCTCTCTCTTTCTCTCTCTCTCTCTCTCTCCGACACATACGGTCCCCCCTCTCCTCTGACGGTTTAGAATTTTATATTTTATCGCCCGTCCTAATGACGTTTACACGCGACCAGGCATAACATGCGTGTATAGGCAATGAGACTGTCATCAAAGCCTGATCAAAGCTTAGATTTATAGATGGCTCGGTAACCTTGAGCTACCGACTTCGTTACGAGACCGTTCCTCGTGATTTTCTGGTGTGGTTTACCCTTGCAAGACACGCTGACTAGTCCTTTGGATGATGTGGAAATCCGAGGTCTCGTGTATACGTTGACAGTCGGAATTCGAAATAAGAGGCAAGCCGTAGCGCCGCAGTTCAAGAAAAAAATTTCGCCCATAGCGCACTTTATTGCATAATATACACGTCCTCATTAGCCCGTGTGCCCGTTAAAGGCAAATTTCAATTCCTCCCACCTTTAATTGTCAGGGATGCTGTCTCGAGTTTAAACATACCCCCTACTGACTTGTTACTTTGGGAATTCCACCTTTGACCGTCGGGAATTCCCCTTGGCTGAGCCGGTAGGACTCCTTGCCACGTACAACCGGGGAATCGAAACCACGCCAGTTGAGAGAGAGAGAGAGAGAGAGAGAGAGGGGGAGGGGGAGGCGTCTTTAGCAGTGGAAGGAAACTGGATAACCCGGAGAAAACCCACAAAGTTGGACAGGCGGTCCTACTCCTTGTCACGTACAAACGTGGAATAGCTACAACGTCACTCGACACAATGCCATACCATATGATCCATCGTGTACGCAATCACCATTCAACCACCCAAACCCTCAGTTAGCCAAAGACACCGATAGAATACAGAATCCTAGAAGAAATGTCAATCAGTATAAAAGAGTCATACCAGAATTATGTCCTGTGTTTTTCCAGTTCAAATACTAAATGTTATTTATCCGCCGTGACGACAGACATTGCTTAATATACTTTTTTTGGTGCTGTCTTTACCTAGTGGGCCAGTGTGCTAGTATCTGTACTAAAGCGAGGGTTTTTTATTCAGCGTAAATTCCCGAACTGATTGAAATCAGATAATTATTTTCCCAATTTGTATTTTTTTTTTTGTTCAAGGTAACATTGTAATCTAACAATATCATTCCGGGACAGTACATCGCAATCTAATCGATCGTCTTTACGTCACTATTATCTTACCAGTTCTCTCTCTCTCTCTCTCTCTCTCTCTCTCTCTCTCTCTCTCAATTTTCTTTACGTCACTGCTATCTGACCAGGTCTCTCTCTTTCAGTTCTATTGAGGCGAATGGGGTGGGGGGATGGTTATCGCGTGTGCGTTGTACCATAAGGTCTGTCATTGAGTCAACTGGCGTGATTTCGTTTCCTCGGATGTTGTTGACAAGGAGTAGGGTCGCCTGTAAAACCTCGTGGGTTTTCTCCAGTTTCCTCCCACTGCTAAAGACCCCTACCCGCAAGAGAATTATTCATATAAAGTTGAACCATATCTTACTCCCGAAATGACCTAGTTTGTGTCAAATGGACTTTGAACCCATTACTCTCCCCCAACACCAAATGGAGGCAGTTAAATAGAATGAAATGAAATTTGGTTAAACATCCCAGTGCTCCAACTGGTGTGTGCTAGGAGGGAAATTTTGCCGAGATAGTGGCGCAGGTGCTATGGCCTAGTCTTAATCCAAGTCAAACTGTCAGGTGTGCTTTTACCAGTACCCCAATATGTACACGGAATCTAGGTTTTTTATCCCATCCGAACGACTAGACAATGTCCTTGCCAGACTCTTCGTACTGCTCCGCTGACAAGAAGATCGGAAAGGTTAGAAAACCCCGGGAGAAGTTTCTCAACCAACACGACATAGCACCTTACTCACTGAGCCACCGCGGTTGACAAGAGGGGAAACTACATTCTCAATCAACACTGGGATCGAAATTCATACACCTTAGTGAGCTAGGACCTTACTCACTGAACCACTTCGGATGACAAGAGGGGAAACTACATTCTCAATCAATACTTGGATCAAGTTTCATACACCCTAGTGAGCAAGCGCCCTACTCACTGAGCCACCGCGGATGATAAGTGGGGAAACTATATTCTCAATTAACACTTGGATCGAACTTCATACACCTTAGTGAGCTAGCACCTTACTCACTGAGCCACCACGGATGATAAGAGGGGAAACTATACATTCTCAATCAACACTGGGATCGAACTTCATACACCCTAGTGAGCTAGCACCCTACTCACTTAGCCACTGTAGCTCCCTAGTTAAATAATGCTTTGAGAAGATGAGACTTTACTCTTAAAACACACAACACAATTTATATGGAATACAATCACTGGTTTATACACATATAGCACGACGTTACGACAAGTATTCGCTTATATTAAGTACAAATGATAAATTAACAAACTAAAAGGTAATATTTATAGTCCTTACTTTTGTAGTTTTTTATTTACAATTTAGTTTTTATATAACGATGTACAGTATATCACAGTTAAATTACAGAAACACGTGAGGCCATGCAAAAACACCTGGTTCTCAGACAATCCCTCTTAAACATTTGATCCAAGGGGCGGGAGGTTTTTATTCTGTCAAAAGATCATTGTTGATAGTGATTAAATCGTATGGTCTGACTCCATACAGAGTTATCTTACTTTGATTGTTATATGGCGTTAAAAGCAAGGTTTTCATAAGTGGTCAGTTAAAGTTTTAAATGGGAATGATAGAGTATTACAATCACTACTGGGCTAAATCACGTCTCAAAAACATCTCATTTCAAGGTACTAGATTTATCTGATCATCATATTGTTTATAAGAATGTATGATTATCCAGTGTTATTTATCTCAAAATGTTGTTTATAGGAATATATGATTATCCAGTATCAATTATCTCAAAATGTTGTTTATAAGAATATATGATTATCCAGTATCAATTACCTCATCATATTGTTTATAGGAAGGTAGAATGCAGTATCATTTACCTCATGTTGTATATGATTATCCAGTATCATTTATCTCAACATGGTGTATATAGGAATATATGATTATCCAGTATCATTTATCTCATGTTGTATATAGAATGTATGATTATCCAGGGTCATTTATCTCAACATGGTGTATATAGGAATATATGATTATCCAGTATCATATATCTCATCATATTGTTTATAGGAATATATGATTATCCAGTATCATTTATCTCATGTTGTTTTTAGGAATGTATGATTATCCAGTACGGTATCAATTATCTCATCATATTGTTTACAGGAAGGTAAAATTATCTGGCGCCATTCATGATTGCCTGTAACATGTGTCAGAGTTGTATATATGACAACTAAACTTCTAGTTTTATTCAATAATTTGTTAAAGACTCAATTCCTGTAATTTACATGAGGTAAATAATAAGATTGATTATATTTTTAAAAATATAAACAGATCATGCAGCCATTTGTAAGTGACACTGGATTATCTGAGAATCAGGACATTATTTTTTTTCTGGCCTTATATCTTATCTCTAACACAGAATAAAAACATGACTCTATTACAGTCAGGTGAAGCTAACTCTATTTTACAAATATATACAGTTCTTAAATACAGTGTTCAAAAGTTCAATTTCTTAAATTAGTTGGCAACCAAAATGGAAATTATTGGGTGATAAGCAAGAGATATTTCTGGCAGTCATTTTATCTCCATCAGTAGTAAATGTTTATCTACATCAGTATGTACAAGCTTGTCTACATCAGTACGTACAAGCTTGTCTACATCAGTACGTACAAGCTTGTCTACATCAGTACGTACAAGCTTGCCCCTTTTGTTTATATAATAACCCTTTTCGAATCTGGTATATTCAGTATATAAAATTGTCAGTTCACCATTTGGCGTAAATTGTATCTCCTGATTCTATTGAATAGTATGACAGCTGACGTAAATCATTATCCATTTCTACATTAGGACCTTCCATCTGAAATATATAATATCCATTTCTACATCAAGACCCTTTAATCTAAGAATAAAACCATGTGCTTTGGAGTTAAAATATAATCACACAATGTTAGAAGAATCTTAATTAGATTTACTAATATCAATAACACCTGTACAACCTACCTGAACATTATTGTACAAAAATGAAATGAAATGAAATGTGGTTTAACGTTCTACTTCGACTGTGCTAATGCCAGACAGTGTGTTATGAGGGACACTTGGCCTGGATAGCGTCCCTACGAATTCCAAGTGTCACAGGTTCTTTTAAGTGCACACTAATGTGTATATAATTTTAAGCTCACACAATAGTTTACACCTGTATGACACACCAGTAGGATAGTTTACACCTGTATAACCCACCTCTATGATAGTTTACACCTGTATAATCCACGTAAATGATAGTTTACACCTGTATGACACACCTGTAGGATAGTTCACACCTGTATAACACACCTGTATGATAGTTTACACCTGTATAACCTACCTGTATGATAGTTTAAACCTGTATGCATAACCCACCTGTATGATATTTAACACCTGTATAACCCACCTGTAATATAGTTTACACTTGTGTATAACCCACCTTTTGACTGCTGTAAGATAGTTGCAGGGTTGAGGCGTCGGCTTGAAATAATCTCTGAACTAAAGCTCGTACTTTCTGTACTGTCATTGACTCTAGAAATGACATAAACAACAAAATTACCGTCATCATAAACAACAAAATTACATAGACAACAAAATTACTGTCACCGTAAACAACAAATTAATGTCATCATCTCTACAAAATACATAAATAACAACATTACTGTCATCATCTCTAGTATCAACAGAATTATCATCATCTCTAGACAATATAGAATGATGTCCTCTAGTTCTAGATCTAGTATACAAGATATGTTAGTTCATCTAAAATGTAAGATTTAATATCATTCAACAAATTAACTGCCCTTTATCTAATAAAATAAATTAATACTTAATTCATGAACTTGGCTGTACACGTCTACAGAAAGAATCAGCTTTGAGAGTTATTGCCCTTATTACTGCTCTGGACCTGAACCCAGAGAAAACCCACAAGGTTAGGCAGGTGACCTACCCATTGTCACCTCAACGCCTTGTATCTAAATCACACCACTTGACCTTTCGATTTCAAGTCATGCTGGTATTAGACTACTCAACACACCAACTCCACAAAAGGAAGAAGAATAACAAAAACAAAAGATGTACATTTAATGAATAATATAAATGAACTGCCTACTCTTATTACTGACCCCTACTAGACTATTCACACCAACCCTTATTACTGACCCCTACTAGACTATTCATACCAACCCTTATTACTGACCCCTACTAGACTATTCATACCAACCCTTATTACTGACCCCTACTAGACTATTCATACCAACCCTTATTACTGACCCCTACTAGACTATTCATACCAACCCTTATTACTGACCCCTACTAGACTATTCATACCAACCCTTATTACTGACCCCTACTAGACTATTCATACCATCCCTTATTACTGACCCCTACTAGACTATTCACACCAACCCTTATTACCAACCCCTACTAGACTATTCATACCAACTCCTACTAGACTATTCACACCAACTCCTACTAGACTATTCACACCAACCCTTATTACCAACTCCTACTAGACTATTCATACCAATTCTTATTACTGACTCCTACTAGACTATTCATACCAATTCTTATTACCAACTCCTACTAGACTATTCATACCAATTCTTATTACTGACCCCTACTAGACTATTCATACCAACTCCTACTAGACTATTCACACTAACTCTTATTACCAACCCCTACTAGACTATTCATACCAATTCTTATTACTGACCCCTACTAGACTATTCATACCAACTCCTACTAGACTATTCACACCAACTCTTATTACCAACTCCTACTAGACTATTCATACCAACTCTTATTACCAACTCCTACTAGACTATTCATACCAACCCTTATTACCAACTCCTACTAGACTATTCACACCAACCCTTATTACCAACTCCTACTAGACTATTCATACCAACTCTTATTACCAACTCCTACTAGACTATTCATACCAACCCTTATTACCAACTCCTACTAGACTATTCATACCAACCCTTATTACCAACTCCTACTAGACTATTCACACCAACCGTTATTACCAACTACTACTAGACTATTCATACCAACTCTTATTACCAACTCCTACTAGACTATTCATACCAACCCTTATTACCAACTCCTACTAGACTATTCACACCAACCCTTATTACCAACTCCTACTAGACTATTCACACCAATCCTTATTACCAACTCCTACTAGACGATTCATACCAACCCTTATTACCAACTCCTACTAGACTATTCACACCAACCCTTATTACCAACTCCTACTAGACTATTCACACCAACCCTTATTACCAACTCCTACTAGATTATTCACACCAACCCTTATTACCAACTCCTACTAGACTATTCATACCAACTCCTACTAGACTATTCACACCAACCCTTATTACCAACTCCTACTAGACTATTCACACCAACCCTTATTACCAACTCCTACTAGACTATTCATACCAATTCTTATTACTGACCCCTACTAGACTATTCATACCAACTCCTACTAGACTATTCACACCAACTCTTATTACCAACCCCTACTAGACTATTCAAACCAACTCTTATTACCAACCCCTACTAGACTATTCACACCAAATCTTATTACCAACCCCTACTAGACTATTCACACCAACTCTTATTACCAACAACCCCTACTAGACTATTCACAGCAACCCCTACTACCAACCCCTAATAGACTATTCATACCAACCCTTATTACCGACACCTACTAGACTATACACATCAACTCTTATTACCAACCCCTACTAGACTATTCATACCAACCCTTATTACCAACCCCTACTAGACTATTCACACCAAACTCCACAAAAGATATAATATTAATTATAAACTGCCTACTTTAATTACCGACCTCTATTGGACTATTCACACTAAACTCCACGAAAGGAAAGGAAGGGGATTAATGAAATAAATGATATTGTTAGTTTTTAATATAAATAAACTTACGTGGTAACTTTTTCTCTACGACACCCTTTGCTGTATTTTGTGGACAGGCTATTTTTACAACTACATTTTGTTAAGGACAACATTTCAAATTTTACATATATAACACTGTTGGACTTTCAGGGAACGTAGCTCGTCGACGTGTGTTCTCTAAGTATTGGAAATGAATACAGATTCTTGGAATGGATCTTCAACACTTTATTCAAGGAGCAAATTAAACAACTTATAATTTCCTATAAAACGGATCTCCAACTAGAATATAGGTTCCCTAGACTTGTCTCTCCAACTCATGAATCATCTTAAATTCATTTGTCTTTTTATATAAATTAGTTACTATAAAAGTGTTGACATAAAAACATAATTATTAAAGGATAAAGTCTTAAGGCATTTAAAACAATAGTTAGAAGAAAATTAACAGATTTACCACTTTAGTTGCCCGCGTATAACAATTTATATCAACTGACAAATTAATTGCTGTCTGTTGCTAATGACTAACCAAGCATTAATGAATATTAATATATAGATCCGAAATTAAAAACAGAATTAAAAAATAATAAAATAACATATGACCAAGACATTGGCCATATATATCACAGAGATGCACTCAGTAATGAAATGAAATTAGGTTAATTGCCCTACTGTTCTGCTCCGACTGGACTAATGAGCATGGGCATATGCCAATGTGCTATGAGGGAAATTATATGCCTGGACAGTGTCAATATCATTGGACCTCAGTTTTTCGTCCCATCTGATGAACGACAGTCCCTATGAACTTTCTCGTCCAACACAGAGCTCAAACATGGGACCTCCAGGTTAGCGAGCCAATGTCTTACTCACCGAGCCACCACGGCTCCCTCTCCCACACGGAATCACAGTCTATAACAAGATTGAAAGGATACAGATGAGGTTATCTTTTAATTTGGATGAAATTTGTTTGAATTCCGAATCTTCAGGAGCACCCCATTCTGTAAATAAACAGACAATGAATAACTTTAAACATTCTGTAAATAAACAACGATGAATAACTTTAAACATTTCCTATGAAATACAGTAATATATATGAATTAGAACAAAACAATTTAAATTCAAGTTCTTCAGTGTCTTGTGAAATATTAGAATTAGGGCAAACCAATTTAAGTTTGTTTGATATCTTGGTGTGTTGTGAAATATTAGAACTAGGGTAAACCAATTTAAGTTTTTTGGTATCATGACATTGTGAAATATTAGAACAAGAGCAAACTAATTTAAGTTATATCATATCGTGGTATCTTGTGAAATATTGCAACTTAAAGATTTTGAGAAGACCCATTTTTGCTTTAAAATAAACAAAATGTTTTTGTCTGTTTCTATAGCTGTACAATTTTTTTTTTCACAGTTAAAAGTTTTAATTCAATTCTTACTTTTATTTTATTTATTTCACATTTAAATATTTTAATTCAATTCTTACTTTATTTGTTTAGTCCCTGGTAAAATTTTTAATTCAATCCTTACTTTTATTTTATTTATTCATAGTTAAATATTTTAATTCCATTTTTACTTTATTGGGTTTTTTTTTTGTTTATCTAAGGATTAAATGTTTTAATTCAGTCCTTACTTTATTTTACTTATTTCACAGTTAAACATATATTATTCAAGAGTTAAATCTGGCTATTGCATGTCTTTCTTTAGGCCTGAAATATTATCTAAATTATTAATTAAACATTAGTTAACTTATCCAGACCATCATCAACTCTTGATGCTATTGTTAGCCTGTGATATTTAGTGGATTTGAACACCTTTTGTGATGGATAATTTAACATAAAAATGGATAATGGAGACTTTGTTTATCATTCTACCAACGTTAGTAATAAGACGATTGAGGCTAGCCTAAAATTGTATCGCTAATATTTCGGTTCAGCATATTCTGTTGCTATTATCTATTTTTTAACTATTATTGCGAGAACTGTCAGTCCTTTATCTAATCTTACCTAATGTCTCTTTAAACATATTAATTCAATCCTGATTTTTATTTTTATTTTGTTTATTTTAAAAAAATTATTAGGCAATAGGAATCATTACTCCAATATTTGTTTGATTCTGTTCAATATTTACAAATATATCTGGAATTGAAATTTCATCCATCTATGCTGCTAGCCATTTTGTTATCCAAGAAAATTTAATGATGGACCAGTTAAAATTCCGATTGAATCCAAGCTGGGAGATTATTTTGATTTTGTTTTCTTAATTAAATGTTAAATAATCAATCTGAGTACATATTAGCGTGAATTAAGCAATGATAAATTTAATATTTTAGTGACAAATGCCAAAAGCACATTGTTACTTTAATTCAGTCCTTACTTTTAATAAGTTCAAGGTAACGTGGATGTTCATTTATAAATTCTGGACTTGGAGTATCGTTAATATAATTCAACCCTTACTTTTAATAAGCTCAAGGTAACGTGGATGTTCATTTATAAATTCTGGACTAGGATTATTTTCTTCTTCCTTTTGACTTCCTCCTGATTCCCGCCATTTTTCACCAAACCGTTTTAAATAATCAATTTCTGATCCCTTCCTTTCTTCTGGTAAGATCTATACAAAATGAAATGAAATGAAATGGAGTTTAACATCCGACTGTTCTGCTCCTACTGGGCTAATGAAGAAGGGCATATTCCATACAGTGAACTATGAGGGAAATTGGCCCGGACAGCCGTGCTACAGCCTACTCTTATATCGAATTCCAACTGTCTAGGGCTCTTTCACATGCACGCCAATGTTTACATGTGACATCGTTTTTTTTGGCCCATCCGAACGACTATCCGTTTCCCCATGCCACACCCTCTGTCCTGTACCACTGACAAGGAGGAACTACGTCAGATGAACTTTCTCGGTCAACTCAGGGATTGAACACAGGATCTCCAGGTCAGCGAGCCGGATATGCATATGAAAACGGACTTTTTTGTTGACTCCGCCCACAATAAAGTTTTGACCAGTCAGACCTATTACCTTAATGTCAAGTATACCTATTACACATTGACCTTTAATGTCACCTCCGTCCACAATATGGTTTTGACCAGTCAGATATAACTATTACAATTGACAGTAATGTCGACTTCGCCCAAAATATGGTTTTGAACAATCAAATAACAGCCATAACAATTGCCAGAGGAGGTCAAATGTCTACTACACAGTGTTCACAGATTATTTCAATAATATTTAAAATAAAGACCATCCAATATGTTTAGTACAGTTAACATTGATATCATAAAATAACGACCATGCTATATGTTTAGTAAAATTAACGTAGATATTATAAAATAACGACTATCCAATATGTTTAGTAAAATTAACGTAGATATTATAAAATAACGACCATCTGATATGTTTAAAAAAAATTAACATAGAAATCATAAAATAACGACAATCCGATAGGTTTAGTAAAATTAACATAGATATTATAAAATAACAAACCTCTGTTCTGCTTAGTAAAGTTAACGTGCATATTTTAGCGATCATTAATTGCCGAACAGTTTCTGGTGTATGGGTATCATTGATTGGATTAAACAACATCATGACATCACAAAGACTCTTTAATTTATTTAACTCATTTACAGATGACCACTGAAAAAAAAAGAAAAATATCAAATAGTTAACGTCCTACTGTTCTGCTAGGATGGGCATACGCCATGCTATCTACTGTGGGGGAAATTTTGGACGGACAGCGGCACTGTGGACTATTCTTATATCATATTCCAACTGGGATGTTGGGGTAACACATTAGTGAGTTAACCAGATGTCGGGGTAGGTAGCTCATTTATAAGAGTTGAACAAGGCTTGTCAACTGATCGTTTAGATTGATGTGCTAGTATCTGTGTTAGAGGTTACTAGGATGTCTTGTGCTGGATTGTGACGTTACAGGTCAGAGGTTACTAGGATGCCTTGTGCTGGATTGTGGCGTTACAGGTCAGAGGATACTAGGATGCCTTGTGCTGGATTGTGGCGTTACAGGTCAGAGGATACTAGGATGCCTTGTGCTGGATTGTGACGTTACAGGTCAGAGGTTACTAGGATGTCTTGTGCTGGATTGTGGCGTTACAGGTCATAACAATAAAGAAATAAGGGATAGTATTGACACATCTTTCAGCGAGAATACTATTTCTTGTGAGGCTTAACACCTGCTTCCATAGTAGGATGATATAGTAGACAAGCATAGTAGCATAATTTCCTGTCCTGTTATACACCAGCAGCCATGGAGTTTATAGTAAAAAAAGTCAAATTATTATTTATCTTACCTGCGAGATTTTATTTCTAAGTATATAAAGTGTTTTTAATTTTGGAAAGAAAGATGTCTTCTCTTCGACGTCAACATCTGGAAATTCTATGGAATCTATTTGGTTTTCATTTAAAGACAGCGTTTCTAATCTGTGGACGTTAAAGAGATTAATTATAGTTATTATATGTTGAAAGGCAACAGAAATACAGCAACAAGCACCTTGCTGAAGGGATGCAGTAGGGACAGCATAGTCAGAAAAATGAAATGCAATGGGGTTTATGGAAGCCTGGACATAAGGCATCGGCCACAGACTTTGTCCAGAAACAGTGGTTTCCAGCGTCAATATGTAGTGGGGACGATCAGTGGAAATAATTAGCTCCAGCTTAATGTTAATTTTTGTAAGAATTTTTCAATTTTACAAGCTTTTGTGCTTTAGAAGACTACCAAAGTAAGAAAGGGAGACATGAACCATCTCTGTAAAGCCACCTAAATGTCTTGCATTAAAGCAAGCTATACATCAGGGCTGTTTACAACAAGTTAGAAATCCTCTATTATAGTCCAGGAATCAGGGCAGTTTACAAAAAGCTATGACATCCCAAAACTATAGACCAAAGATCAGGGCAGTTTACAGCAAGCTAGACATCCCTCAACTATAGACCTGACAAAAGATCAGGGCAGTTTACAACAAGCTAGACATACCCCAACAGGGCAATTTACAACAAGCTTAGCCAGATATCAACCAAGTATAGTCTAGGGATCAGGGCAGTTTACAACAAGCTAGAAATCACTTATTAGTCCAGCGATTAAGGCAGTTTACAGCAAGTTAGAAATCCCCTATTATAGCCCAGGACAGTTTACAACACCCCCCTAACTATATTCCAGATATCAGGACAGTTTACATACCTTGGTAAATGTCCTAGATATAAAACATCTTTCCACCTTGAGATATTGTTATTTTCTATAGCCAAAGATCGTAGATGATTTAAATAACCGGTAGAATCGTGAAGACTAGAGAGAGAATTAAAACAAAAACTTAAACTTTCTAAATTCTTCATCATCTTACTACACTCCAACAGCTGAAAAAAAAAAAAAAAAAAAAATAGAATTTACTAAAGAAAGAGAGAGAAATGGGGTTTAAAGTCCACTTAACACAAACTAGGTCATTTCAGGACTAACATATGGTTCAAATTTATTTCAATAATTTGCTCACATGTGCGGAGGATGGGCGTAAGGGGGAACCCTAAGAAAACCCATGGGGATGGACAAGTGACTCTAAACCATAAAAAACGAAACGAAATAAGATCTGTGTTTTAATCAGATTTGTAATTGGCCTGCACGTAGAGGACTTTAGCTGTGGGAGGAAACCGGAAAACCTGGAGAAAACCCTAGACGTTGGGCAAGCGACCCTACTCCTTGTCATGTACAAGCGGTCAATGAAAATAAAGTCACTTGATTCAAAGACAGACCTTATGATCTAACGTGCACACATTAAAAACCATTCTGGTCACCCAAACCCCTACGTGCAAGCTAAACACCTTGAATGACAGTTGACATCAGGTGTATGCTAAACATCCTGAGTGACAGTTTGACATCAGACACAAGCTCGACTTCCCGAGTGACAGTTTGACATGACATGTAAGCTCGAAATCCTGAATGACAATTGACCACAGTAATCTCGTGTAATCTATTATAAAGATTCCTCCCCGTTCACAACACCTGTACCTCACACAAAGTTGCTAGTCATCCTTAATGTTAATTTATAACAATTTACCTCTTGCCAGGTATACAAGGTCAGAGGTCAAATGATAACAATTTACCTCTTGCCAGGTATACAAGGTCATAGGTCAAATGATAACAATTTACCCCTTGCCTGGTATACAAGGTCAGAGGTCCAATTATAACAACTTACCTCTTGCCAGGTATAAAAGGTAAAATTAAGTTTTAAAGATTTAATATGAGTGAAATCAGACGATAAACTTTCCACATCTTTTGGTACAGGTAAACGATTTAAACTGAAATACACAAATAAATCACACTATGATTAGAGGCTTGTCGTATGAATAAATGTCTTAAAGATTCCTCCCCCCCCCGATTACAAAATGTGTGATTTGATGATATATTTGGTCCAAAAATATATTCAAACTAATTAATCTATCAAAAATTTGCTTCAAATCATACATATTGAGGCCTAAGTAAATTCTGAATTACTTTCTGTCCACTACTTTTTCCGCCATTGATTGCAGAGTCTTCAGTATGTTGACACCCCTAAATGTTCCCCAAACCACCTAACCATTTCATCAAGAAATAAGCTAGCACACAATAAGATGCCAGACAACAGTCAGGTTGCCAGTTAGTGATACTCTGACATTTTTACCTAGTGCTTGCCCCCAAGGGTGTTTTTCCGGTAATCCAATATTTTTTCGAGTAAGATTGGGTGTCTAATACTTTCCATATATATCGAATTTGCCATACTTTTATTGGAAATAACTACCCTATAAATACTTTTCGTGACAATTTATCTTTAATAGACCCACTTAGTTCTTATATAATGTATCTTTAGCGTATTATATTCTGAATGGTTTTTTTAATGGGGGGCGGGGGGAATGGTTTAATGCTTGCATGTTAGCTCATAAGGTCTGTCATTGAGTCAAATGGCGTGGTTTCGATTCCCTGCTTGAACGTGACAAGGAGCAGGGTCGCCTGTTCAACCTTGTTGGTTTTCTCTGAGTCCCACCGCTGCACTGCGATAATATTATTCGGATTACACAAGGTTACTAAGAATAGAATAAAGTAAAAGAAATTATTTCGGGCTTGCAAAGTATAATTTTTATGATTGGTTAATTTAACTGAAATCCAAAGTAGAATTCTCGCGAGAAATATTAAGAGATATGAAAATGTGTAGAATGTTGTAACGTATATAATGTCATTTTCTAGTTTCTATGACTATATTTTGAATAGTGGTTTCATTTTAAAATAAATATTAAACAATAATAAAGTTAGAAATGCCAAGAACTATTTGGATTTGAATAAAGTCAGAACACGGTGCGTTGACATTGTGCTATTTAATTACTAAACTATTATTAGTATATTTTAGCAGACGATGCCACTGTAACATCGTGGGGCAACAGTACATTCTATGATTTTCAAACACCAAATGTATATTACAAAAGTGTAGAGACGTATTTCTGAAAACCTTCTTATCTTAGCTAAACAGGATAACGGAAAATTTTGTTTTAATAAAGATGAATATGACCCCAAACGACCAGGGTCTTACATTAGACTTTACACATGATCGACTAGTATTATTTTCACTGGTTGGCTTTGTTCCTTCGACAGAAACCTTTCATTTTTTTTTTATAAGTAAACTACTATTATTTTCACATTCAGTCAAAATCAGTCGGACAAAATATTATTTTATTATTCTTTATTAAATTAATCTAGGCACTCGCATAAATAGGTTTTCTTTTTGGAAATAGAATGAATAAAAGTTCAAGTATTGAATTAATACATGTATTTATAATATTACAAATCACAAGAAGGCTCACTTCTAGTGAAGAACATTAGAAAATAAAGTCTTACATCTTTGGAATGGAAGTTAATCAATGGAATCTAGGCCTAGCATCCATTTGTCAGAGTTCTTGGTCTCTATTATAATTTTACTCCCCTCTGAACATTTTGCGTGAGTAAGTGAGTTACTCGCCAAACTCACGCAGAGTCTTGTTTGCGTGAGTAATGGAGTACTCACGCAGTGATTCTTCGTGGCAAGCACTGAATGACCCTGGTCAGAAATTAACTATAGTCCATTTCCTGATATTCACTAGCAAATTCAATACCATTGACATCTTACCTGAGAATTAAATTAGTTAATTTGGGTAACTGTCTAACGATTTCTGCTACAGATTTCCATGACGATAGCAAATTCTTCCCAAGGTTGACCTCTACTAAATTAGGGGTCAGAGTTGAAAGGTCATCCTGTCCTGCTCCATATACAGGAAGACCTTTGACATCTACTTCCAGCAGGTCTGCTAGTTTACTGAAATAGGAATGAAAATGAAATGGGGTTTAACGTCCTACTGATCTGCTCCGACTGGGCTAATGAAGACAGGCATACGCTATACAGTGTGCTGGGATAGAAATTTGACCCGGACAGCGGCACAATGGCCTACTCTTATATCGAATTCCAATTGCCAAGGGATCTTTAACGTGCATGTCAATGTGTACACGGAACCTTGATTTTTTTGTCCCATCCGAATTCCAACTGCTAAGTGCTCTTTTATGAGCAAAGTGTACATGGGACCTTGATTTATGGTTTTCGTCCCATCCAAATAACTAGACAGCTGTTCTTTTCCAGGCCCTCTGTCCTGCACCAATGACAAGGGAATACAGTGCTGGAAAATCCTTAAGAACTTTCTCGATCAACACAGGGATCAAACCAGGAACCTCCTGGTTAGCGAGCCACTGTCTTACTCGCTGAGTCACTGCGGCTGCCTACTGCAACAGGACACAGGACATCAATAAATTCCTACATCTGGTTATCCATGAATATAATCTCCTGTTATATTTTAGTAGTTATCTCCCTTTTCCCCGTTTTCTGTGTTGATTTTTGTTGTATTTTTGAAGTAGAAGTAAAGAAAAGGGATGGAATGTATATTTTCTGCCAGGCTTTGAGGTGGAAGGATAACAAGAGTTAAAAGTCTGGTTACGTTATGCTACTTCTGGTTTGTTTATCTCACGGTCATAGGGGACAGCCGCATAATCTCACGAAAAAATAAAACTAATAGCTTGATGACATAACTCTCAATCTGATTAAAACACAGATCTAATTTCTTTTCGTTTTTTATACTTCAAAATTTCGTCTTTACTACATTTGGATCTGGAAGACTTGTTATTTAACTTGTGTTCTGCTTGAAATGAGGGGTCAGCCAATAAAATGGTCTGTCGAATCGAGTGTTTGACCTTTTTTGCGCGGAACTGTGGGTAGACATTAGCGCCAATAGAAATCGAAACAAAGCAAAAGTAGATAAAAAATGAGGGGTCAGCCAATAAAATGGTCTGTCGAATCGAGTGTTTGACCTTTTTTGCGCGGAACTGTGGGTAGACATTAGCGCCAATAGAAATCGAAACAAAGCAAAAGTAGATAAAAAATACATGGCGGTCGCTTATTGGTTAATCGAATGACTGACGTTATCGGGTCAAATGTTGCTTGCTTGGTACCTGACGTCATAGAACGTGAACTCCCACTATAACTTAAATAAAATAAAACCAAGTACAAACAATCCAATCCATAAGACAGAATTCGAAGTCCTAAAAAACTTTATAGGCAAAATAGTGTATTCAAGCAAAATAGTGTAACCAGCAAATGGACTGCTCCTCGTGTACAAAATACACGACAAACAGTGGTAACAGGTGTCCGGAAGAGTAAGCTAAGTTAGATCTAAATGTAGGCCATAGAAAGTATAAAAAAGAAACGAAATATAGATCTATATTTTAATTAGACTGACATAAATCTAGGATTGCAACCAGTCAATTTTAAATGTTTGGGTCAAATTTGTATTACAGACACTGTACACAGATTTTTGTCAAAAATTTATATATTTTCATGAAAGCTTCAATCAAATTTTATGATTATTTTATCATGTTTCTATCAAATTTTATGATAGTTTTATAATGTTTTTATCACTATCAAATATTGTGATTTTTTATATATATAACTTATCTCCGATCCATGAAGTAGTGTTCAGCTAGTGATGTGTGGGTAAGAGTCACAGTCATTTTCTCCTATGTTCATATACCCACACATAACAATGACTGAACACTGTCAAATAGTAAATGAAAGGGAGCAACAAGCTGGGGGATCATATTCGGATTTATTAGTATAGAAATTTATTATTAAGAGCAGCAATTTATGATTAGTTCTATATTTTGAAATATATTTTTTTTAGAAATTTTGAAATTTTATAGTTTTTATGATATTTTACCATTTTATGATAATTCTATGAGAAATGACGAAATTTTATGAAAATATAAATGTTTAATATTGTACGGTCCCAGGTATTTTTATCTGAAAAAAGTAAAACTCACCTTTGCCTAAGATTCAGAGATTTTGCTCCGACCATTTCAACCACTGTAGTTTTGCCAGTTCCCACGACAAATAGTTCATCCGTTTTAACTCCAGCATCGTGATCTGATTTTAAACCATAACGATCTCTTACAGCTGATATAAACGTTATTCCTGTATTCACTTTCTGAGGGCGAACGAACGAACCTGATTTCACGTACCTAAAAATAATAAATAATTGTTTCTGTTAGATGGTGTGCACTTTAGATCATAAGGTCTTTCATTGAGGCAAGTGGTGTGGTTTTGTTTACCAGAACCATGGGGAATCTGACAGACAACATGGAACTGGGTGGTGGGAACCTTGGGGAATCTCTCAGACAACATGGAGCTCGTTGGTAGAAACCGTGGGGAATCTTATAGACAATATGGAACTGGGTGCAAACCAGGGTTCTTAATCCATTTTGAAATGAACTGGCCACAGTTAGGCCTAACGGATTAGTCGTCTTTTCATCAACAAACATGTAAGTTTATGCATACTCTATTCACGACAGTAATTGCATAATTCACTAATTGCATAACGTATTCCGGATAATAATAGCTGAAACTCCGAATAAACAAGATCTTTGTAATTGCATACTTGTATTCAGACATCGCTATAGTATCGACATTTATAGTCATATTATTATTTCAGCAACTTGCATTGTATATTCCTACTTTTGCTTATAAATTAGTAAAAACTACAAGTACATACAAATGGGTTTTAAATTATTTTATTTGTAAGCACGTTAATATATATAAAAATAACAAAGTATATAAGTATATAAATAATAACGTAGCACAAATCAGTTTCAGTGTATAGTCGGAACTTGGAAATATGCTGTACGTGCGAGAGGTCACACGGTCAATTGTCATGATTCCGATTAGTTTATTTTCAGTGTTACCCGTATTATACAATTGTCGAGAATTAATGCAGCAGGACTAGTTCGGATATCTTCCTCAATTTCACTGGATATTAAAGAAATAAATTCACCACAACAATTAAAATCACGATATAATTTTTTTGTCATTTCATGTCCCTGCTGTTCTGTCAAATCGTTCAATTGTTCATAATTTTCGATGGCAATGTTTCTTTTTGCTATGATCATACGCATTTCGGATTAACGCCCGGTTTGAAACAATTTCTATAGATTTGGGAATTAAACTCTTTGTTCTGCCATCGTCTTTCTTTGCTGCGCAGGTATGATCGTCAGATTAATATTGTCTTTTATTGCCAATAATTTGGTTGACCTATATTGGACGTGGGAGATCTCCGGCTTTTGGAACTTCCATTGACGACGTGCATGCTTGAAGTTCAAGGTCAATGCCGTCATCACCATCTTCATTTAAATCTCATTTACGTTTCCTGGTGTCATTCTGCGAGGTGTTCAAGTACTTGGCATGATTACCTCAATTAAGTTGTTTATTTATGAAATAAGCCGAAGGTATTCATTGTAATGATTGACTCTTTGATGGATTTCTTAATCAACGAGTAATAATTAACTCTTTGTAATCGGCCGAAAGTAGATTGATTTATGATACGTGGCCGGTTCATTGTTTTACTAATCGGCTAGATTAAAGATCAATCGGCTTAAGCCGACAAAAAACAGCCGATTAAGATCCCTGGTGCAAACACATGGTAACCTATTTAAGATTATAAGTTACCTGGTTTTATTGAGTGATGTATATATTCCTGTATGTAAAATTATAATTTACCTGGTTGAAAAATATTTGATGTTATTATGTGTACCATCATGTTTCCCTCTATCTTGTTCGTCCCAATCAACACCCAACCATAAACCTGGTAAATATACAAAATATACAATATATACACAACACCCAACCAAAAAACTGGTAAATATACAACATATATACAATGTATACAGAACACCCAACCATAAACATGGTAAATATACAATATATACACAACACCCAACCATAAACTTGGTAAATATACAACACCCAAACATAAAGACTGATTTACACTGAGTGCGACCACATGTGTCCAAAGAAACTTTCCTCACAATTATTGTTGGTACCGAAAGCAGCAATTAGGCACAGAAATCTGCAGACAAAATGGACGAAAATGACGATTAACGATATATGCCTTTTGACCTCGTACTTTGATTGGTTACGGTACACCTTTTGACCTTTCACTCTGATTGGTTAATGTATGCCTTTTGACTTCGTACTTTGATTGGATAATGTACACCTTTTGACCTTGCACTCTGATTGGTTAATGTACACCTTTTGACCTTGCACTATGATTGGTTAATGTATGCTTTTTGACCTTGTACTCTGATCGTTAATGAAAATTGTTCTTTTACCGAGATTTCGCCTAATAGTTTGGATGCAGCTATGGCGGGTGTGGCGCAAGGCAGGTTAAGCTTACTCTTCCGGACACCTGTTACCACTGCTTGTCGTGTATTTTGTACACGGTGAACAGTCCATATGCTGATTACACTATTTTGCCTTTTAGGACTTCGAATTTTGTCTAATGGTTTGGATTGTTCGTACTTGGTTTTATTTTATTTATCACTCTGTGGGACCATAATTTGGCCACATTAGTATAAATGACTCAATTCAAATAGCAGTTAATCAATCAAATGCAATCGCTATTTTCAAATTCAATATCTATAACCTTGTAAATACATCCAAAATACATCCACCAACAATCTGAAATTAAATGGGGTTCAACACCAACAGGGATCATGAAGGTGGGCATACGCCATGCAGTGTGCTATGAAATGAAGGGAAATTTCAAATTCCAACTGCCATAGGTTCTTTTACATCATGCCAATGTAGTTTTTCGTCCTATTTGAAGGACTAGACAGTTGTCACTTGCCAGGCCCTCTGCCCTACACTAATGACAAGGGGGGACTACACAACGTCTTACACAATGAGCCACCAGGGCTATCCACGAACAATCTGCATCCAATCATAACCAAGTATAAACAAGGAATCAAGCATGGCATCATTGCAATCATCTTCGAATTGAGATATTAAAAGTCTACGTTTTATGTTAATTCGCCTTTTAAGAGCCTTGACCCAAGAAAAAGAAGCAATTTAAGCGGTTTAATGCAGGACAAATATTGAGTACTAGAATGTATGAGTCACCTTTTGTTGGTGGAACTTCTCCAATATATTTTATTGTAGCATAATGTCCATCATCTGTCACTATTCGATCACCGACGACAACCAGACTTCCATCTTTCCTTCTTAACTCTGCAAAATCAAATTGAACATAACTCAATGACATGAATCAATGTCAAGCCCTCCCTCCCCCAAGACAGCCCAGATTATTTCCACTTAAGTCAACCCCAGCATTTCCACTTAAGTCAGACCCCAGCATTTCCACTTACGTTAGCTCAGAGTATTTCTACTTAAGTCAGCTCAGAGAATTTTCACTTATGTTAGCCAGAGTATTTCCACTTAAGTCAGCCCAGAGTATTGTTCATGTAAAGCGCCATTGAATACATCAAAGATGTAATAATGAGCGCTATATCAAATTCAATAAACATAAACATGTACATTTCATTATCAGCAGCTTGAAACTCTCTGGTTGAGTTTTATTTTATTTAGCGAACAAACCTATCAAGTTCTAGAACAAAGATGCCTACCCTGCTTAGCTTCTTCAACGTAACTTCTGTACATCTTATCCAGCGAAAACAAACAGGGCTAGCCCTTGGCTTAAATTACGTACATGCAATGATGTTTGGTTAAAGTATAACACAATAATTTCTATAAAATTTGTAAAACAGTTATCTTGTTGTACACGTGCATGTAGAAATGGACGGCAGTTGTAGACAAAAAATGGCAACCAACTGAGTATGGTAATAAGACTGAATCTTTTTTTTATCAGATTTCATGCACAACAGTCAGTTTCAGATGAAAAGTAAATTCCAGTGTCTTTTTCTGAGAAACAAAAAAAGAAAAAAAATCAAAGACAAAAAAAAATAATCAGCATTTATGGTTGATGTGATTCACATTTCGATCCTATCCCTAAATAAACAGGAGGACGGAAATGTTAGACCCACCAGCGTGCCTTCTACATGGTGGATTCTATATGACCTCTCCCTGCAAACCCTAAATAAAAGGTAGTCAGGTCAACCATGAACGCCAAATAATCTATGTGATTAATCAAACAAAATGACATTGACCAGACAATTCTAATATTAAAGGCTCAATACCACTCTTATTGTAACTGAATAATATGTCCCAATCTTTATTCTGGTCAACAAATTGTACTATTTTACAATATTCCAATTAATTGATGATACAAATTTCATCTTAACACACCTAATTTAAAAAATTGGAAAAATTCAACTAAATGATTTGAAAAGCTTGACGTAAAGCTTTTCAAATGTGACTTGGATTTAAAAATATTTTTGAACCCTCTGGACAAGTAAAATAGGATTTAATGGATAATTTGCACAACAGGTAGGACACTAACACATCTAATACTTAGAATAAGGCTAATTTTTATTTTCTGGAGCTGTCAGGCAAGAGTGTTATTGTCCCTTTAAAACAGACAATAGTCTCATATCTTGTATGGGCTACATTTTCACAAAGTACCGGTACCTAAAAGAGCGCTATTGCATTTTGCACCACTACCAATTCCAATAGTCATAAAGACTTGAAATGTTAAGGGGATGTTGAGTGTGTGTGTGTGTGTGTGTGAGGGGGGGGGGGGAATCGATCAGTAGCTTTTTTATTTTACAGGCCTTTTACCTCCTAATCGTCGCCATCTTGCTGATTTATTTTTTATATAGACTAGAATATGGAGACATTACATATGTACAACAGATAACTACACATTCGCTAACACTGCAGTTAATAATAATAATAATCAGGGTCTGGGTCAGACCACCTGTCATTCCTTCTGATAGCATGCCACCTTATTCCTTGAGGTTGATAGACTGTTAACGCTATATAATCATGGATCAGAAATCTGTCAACCCATTGACGGGCCATTGCGGTACGGTATTCTGATTATTCATTACGACAGTCTACTTTCCGATCTATGACCACAGGATCTGGTAGAGGTGGAAAAGTGTAATAGTGCCCAATACAGGTCGCTTCAATACATTTTACATTATTATTGCTTATATTCATTGCCAACATTATTTTCTTATAAAGATAACACAGAATCCAGCAAAAAGCCAAAAAGAAAAGGATACAGGTACCCATGCAGACTCTGCAGTAACGAGTTGTCAATAACATAGTGTGTTGTTTTCATTAATCATTTAGATAAAGCTCTTAATTACGGATTCATTCCATTTTTGATATTAAATTTATTTTAGTAAATGAGTAATAAAATAAGTATTCTTTAACAGAAATACACACACCTGAAGCGTCCATCTTAGATTTTGGTGTATTAATCTTCACAACCGAAACTATTTCCCATAACGATATTTTTCAGAACTATAAAATCAGTACAGTAATGAAAATATTTTGTCTTAATATGTATATGTATTGATTTAAAAAATACTACGGATATCAAAAAATGACTTTAATACAGACTCCTGTATTGATTTACTATGTAATTCGTTTGAGAATATATTTCCTGAAGTCTGCAATTTTGTATAACCGAAGCAGAAATAAACTTCCGGTTTCCATGCTTGACTTCACGAGTAAACACGACTAAGCAGAACAGAACGAAAGATTGTCAATAGAGTTTGAGATGATGGATGGTGGGCCTGATTAAGTAGATTGTGTGAATACGTAATGATTATATTTAAGCGAATTTAGCATCATGTCTGTAGAAATTTCTCTCACAAAGTGGATATTCTTTGCCTGTATGACTGGACTAATCAGTTATTTTGGTGATAAAGTCTTTACAAGTTTCAAAGCGGCCAATGAATGGAAAAATGTAGAATCGTGGATGAAAGAACGTAATTTTTCTTACCTCAAACCACTGCTGAAGTCATTAGGTGAGATTATATGTTTGATTACAACCGGTGGAAGATACTCCTGTAGTCCCAAAGTTATGATCCTGATGAGGATCCCATTCCCGATCCCCTAAATTATGATTTATATTGTAAGAAATACTACAGTAGAGGGTGCAATAGTAATATTGATGCTTTTAGGGGTGTATTCAACGGTATACAGACAACTCATCCCAAAGACAACTCATCCCAATATAAGACAACTCATCCCAAGATAGAAGACAACTCATCCCAACCTTAAAACATGGGTCGAGATATAAGACAACTCATCCCAACAAATATAAGAGCTAGTTAATTATATTTATGTTAATACAATTGCTTTCTTCGAAGACAACTCAGACCAATCTGATTTTGTTATAAAAATCCATGCAGTTCAAGTTATTCCAACGGTGGAATTCTTATAAAAACCAAACTGTTAACAACAACCAGTTATTAAAAAGATGTGGAGGAATCTTTGGACCGACAAACTGACAGACTAACTGACAGAAGAAAAAACTTCAATAGAAAATAAAGAAAAAAAAACCATATAAATGTATTATGTGTTGATGTAATAAAATGTATTATTTAATAAATTGTTGATATCTCGACTCATGTATTAAACCAAACAAAACTAAATTGGGATAAGTTGTCTTTTATCTTGGGATGAGTTGTCTTTTATCTTGGGATGAGTTGTCTTCTATCTTGGGATGAGTTGTCTTATATTGGGATGAGTTGTCTTGGGATGAGTTGTCTTGGGATGAGTTGTCTTTGGGATGAGTTGTCAAGTATTCATATTCAACATATAGACGAAAGCCTACCAGTATTGAAATGAAATGGGGGTTTAACTTCCTACTGTTCTGCACCGACTGGGCTTGAAACTGGTATAGACTATCCCAATACCGATGTGAAAATTTCTGACGATTTGATGTCAGTGTAGTTAAAGTTTACTTTTAAATATCTGAATCTGTACATTGCAGTGCCTGTTACAGCATATACGCGAGTGAGTTCGTTAAGTTCTTGTGGATAGAGCTGTTTCAAAGCTCTCCTTTGATTGAGAGCGCACTATAGTGTCATCCAGGTGCTTAATAATTGTCTTTGGGAACAACGAGTGTCTGTAAAGTTCAGTTTTGCATACCACTGTTTTAAAACATTTAGAATTGTTTGTTACTTGCTTTATCTTGGAATGTGGGGTGTTGGATGACCGAATGGTTAGCACGTGCGCACTGTATCATAAAGCCTGTTATTGAGTCAACCGGTGTGGTTTCGAATCCCCGGTTGTACGTGACAAGGAGTAGGGTCGCCTGTCCAACCGCGTGGGTTTGCTCCGGGTCCTCAGGTTTCCTCCCACTGCTAAAGACCCCTACACGCAAGCGAATTATTGAAATAAAATTAAACCATGTTAGTTCGGAAATGACCTAGTCTGTGTCGAGTGGACGTTAAACCCCATTTCTCTCTCTCTCACTCTTCTCTTGGTAAGTAATATGTAGAAGCGATCTAAATATGGGTTATAGTGATGTCGCTACTCGGCTAGTGTTCCTACATGTGAGAGAGAGAGAAATTGGGTTTAACGTCCACTCGACACAAACTAGGTCATTTCGGGACTAACATATGGTTTAATTTTATTTCAATAATTCGCTTGCGCGTAGGGGTCTTTAGCAGTGGGAGGAAACCAGAGGACCCGGAGAAAACCCACGAGTTTGGACAGGCGACCCTACTCCTTGTCACGTACAACCGGGGATTCGAAACCATGCCAGTTGACTCAATGACAGACCTCATGATACAGCGCGCTCGTGCTAACCATTCGGCCATCCAACCCCCCGTTCCTACATGTACATGTGGTCATCAGAAATTCCCTTGGGATATAGATTGGTTTGAGAATTCAAGTCATAACTGGAGCTGCTGTGACTCAGTGAGTAAGACATTGGCTCACTAACCTGGGGGTCCTGTGTTTGATCCCAATGTTGGCCAAGAAATTTCATCTCTAAGTCGTACTGTCTGTCATTGATAGGGTACCCCAAGATAAATAAATATCTCCAAATATCTTGACAATTATACCTCAGTATTTATATATATAACAAACAAAAAGCTATTGTTGTGATTTTGCCCTGTATAATAATACAGTCAGGATAACCAGGACTGTCCCGTGTACAAATTGGCGTGCACGTAAAAGATCCCTTGACAGTTGGAATTCGATATAAGAGTAGGCCGTAGTGCCGCTGTCCGGGCAAAATTTCCCTCATAACACAATGTATGGCGTATGCCTGTCTTCATTAGCCCAGTTCGGAGCAAAACAGTAGGACGTTAAACCCCATTTCATTTCATTTCATAACCAGGACTAATTCCACCATTCTACGGAATCTCGTACTACCAGGTTAATTTTGTCATGTATAATACAGGTGTCCGTCAGGATAACCGGCACTAACTCCACCATTCTACGGAATCACGTACTACCAGTATTTTTGCCCTATATATTGCCGGGTCGTCGTCACAGCTCAGATCATTGATATTATTGCTGGCACCTTGGAACATTAGTTTTGATTTCGATTAATAGCTTGTACACATTACATAACGAGGAGTAGCTTCACCTGGCTGACCTCGTGGGTTTTTACGGGGTCCTCTGATTTCCTCCTACTGCAAAATAAACGCCAAGTGAAATATGGAAACAAAATTGCACTATGTTAGTCCCAGAATGACCCAGACAGACTGTGTTGGGTGGATGTTTTTTTTCCATTTTCTTTCTGCGTCTAGAAGGAGTAACCTTGTTTGGTTTTCTTTTTTCAGATATAATCCAACTAGAAGATGTGGGAATGATAGAAGTTAATAAATTGGGTAAAAATTTGGGTAAAGATTTTAAATGGGCTGTTGAAGAATTGAGACAATCGATCGAACTGGATTATTTTATGTACTTTTATGAAGTAGAAGAAAGTTCAGAAAGGTAAATTGAGTGACATCTAGTTGATAATTATTTAAATGTCCATTGGGAAGATTAGATAAAGAGCTGACAGTTCTTGCTATAATATTCAGAAAATAGATAATGAAAACAGAATATGCTGAAAATTTCAGTCAAAATGCTTCGCCCTGAACCAAGATATTAGTTGGGGGTTAGCATGTGCACACTGTATCTTAAGGTCTGTCATAGAGTCAACTGGCATGGTTGTCTCCAGATCCTCCGGTTTCCTCCCACTGCTAAAAACCCCAGAGCGCAAGCAAATTATTGAAATTAAATTGAACCATATGTTAGTCCCAAAATGATCTAGTTTGTGTGGAGAGGACGGATGCCCTTAAAATGTTGTTTTATGGGTGTAAAATAAACTGTTGTTTAGGTTTGTAGTAAATTGTGGTTTTGGTTTGTATTAAATTGTTGTTTAGGTTTGTAGTAAATTGTTGTTTTGGTTTGTAATAAATTGTTGTTTTGGTTTGTAATATTTTTGTTTTTTAGGTTAGTAGTAAGTTGTTGTTTTGGTTTGTAATAAATTAATTCTCTGTTTTATTTTGTTTATAGAATCAAAGAGCTGGGGATAAGAAGCATAGAAGAATTATGCAAAACATTTCAGAGATTGAAAGATAAATCTAACCGAGCCGGAATAATGAATGCGTGCCACGAAACAAGGAATGGGAACAAGAAAGCAAAGCGGGAGGACATTGTAAAATGGCTGAAGAATCAGAACTCTTTCACTTTTAAACAAATTAGTAAGTTATTTTCATGTGTTTTTTTTTTACATTAACCCTTTCAAACCAGGTACATATACTATAACACTAGGTACATTGACTACCCCCAGTTAACCCTGTAACACCTGGTACATATCAATCAATTGCGTACCAATAATAGAGATATCTTTTGTCTATTAATCATCCTCAGATTAGTGTTGATTACATTACTATTTACAGTAAGAGTAGTAATAAACTAATTAAGAGACAAAAGATTTAATTATTTGTCTTCAATTACGAATCAGTGACTTTTTTTGACGGTTTCTATATATTCACTGTGAATAATACTTGTTCGATTTGTTTGAGATTATTGAATTATGACAGATGTTTTATCTTTTTCTTACTCCTGTTGCCCGTATCGTTAATAAATGAAGCCAGGTTTGTTGTTCCAGTTTATAAATGCGTATATATTCTTTGGGTTGTCGAAAGTCAGTTATCATCAAATCACATGCCATGGGTCGTAGCGAAAAACTGAACAGCCTTAGTCAACGTCCGATAGAAGAAAGTCAGATTTTATTTAGTATGTCACCACCAAAATGCTCTAAGTCTACAGATGAAACTGACATGATCAGCTCTCGTCCATCTAATAATATTACATCCTTGAATGTTGAAGCAATATCAGCTTCTACAATGGGTCTTCATTTTAGGGTACCTCAAAAGTTTGCGACAGAGAAAAATTTAGTAATACATAAAATGATAAAGGGGCATTATGGGATATACGATAAAATAAACTGGCAGTTCTCACTATAATGGTTAAAATATAGATAACGTAAATAGAATATGTTGAAAATTCCAATGTTAACTGCAGACTGTGCAAGGGGGTTTAGTTGACAAAATATTATAAAAAAACAAATACATATATTCATTGAAACAAACACAATGTGTAATTTAATGTTACTAAGTAATGGTTACCCCAGATGTTGAAATAGCTTTCAAAAATGGGCTTCTGCAAATTAAATTATAGTATCGTATGTATCTTGTATGTAATTACTGAAAAAATATAATAGATACTTTTTTTTTGGCAGAAAAAATATATGGGTAATAAATTAAAATGAGAAATTGGCCAAAACAAAATGAAACCCAGAGTGAGCACTGGGTACATGTAAATATAGACTACCTCCAGTTAACCCTTTAGTACCTGGTTAACCCTTTAGAATTTGGGAGAAAAGTGACATAACTCGAGGCTATTCATGTGACACAGGCAGTTTGCGGTGCTAATCCGTCAGACATGTAGAAGAAAGGGCCATTTATATTTGGTTGTATATTGTCATCACCTAAATTCAACCATCTGTGATCATTAGCTGTGGGAGGAAATCCGCAAATCCGCAGAAATCCCACAAGGTGGTCGATGAGGCGACCTAACTTGTATAAGCAGGGAATCGAAACCCCACGAAATGTCAACCTGTTTCTTACAATAGTATATATTTAACAACATCCATGACAACACATTTCTTATTGAAATAAAATTGAACCATATGTTAAGTCTCAAAATTACCTAGTTTTTGTCGAGTGGACGTTAAACCCCATTTCTCTCTCTCTCTAACACCACACTCTGATGTTCAGATGAAATGAAATAAAGTTTAACACCCTACTCTGATGTTCAGATCAGATGTTCTTGTACTGATTACCATACACTGTAACCCGAGTATCATTTAATCTTGTGTATCTAGCACTAATTTTGTTCACATTCGTTTCATATCAAATCTTTGTTTAAAAATTTGTAAAAAAACATTTAAAATCACCAAAAATCATCTAATTTGTACATGTGTCCAGTTTAAAGCTGACTGATTAATTTTGATAATGAGTGTCCAATTTACAAGTATTTAATTTCTAGACCACTGTTCAAAAATTAATCATTATACATCAATAATCAATTGGGTTGTTTATTTTTTAACAGTGATTGAAAAATTAAACGCTTGTAAATTGAACACTCATTATCAAAATTGAATGGTCAGCTTTAAACTATACATAAGTACAAATTAGATGATTTTTGGTGATTTTAAATGATTTTTACGAATTTAAACAAAGATTTGATATTAAATGAAAGTGAAGGAAATTAGTGCTAGATACACAAGATTAAATGATACCCGGGTTACAGTGATACTACTTGACAGATGGTTCCCTTCCCTGGATTCATCCTCAACCAGGAATGTGAACACTGTCATTTTCCTTTGACAGTTAAGCACATTTTGATTGAGTGCAAGCATCTCAAACATATAATACTTAAGATCACGATATTGCCGTTGCCAGTCACTACATCACTTGTTTGCCCAACCAGGGTTATATTGCTAAATGCTAAACATTTTAAAAGAGACAGGTTTTTATTATAAATTTTAAATATCCAAAATTATTAGCACAACCGCAAAGCTGCACTACTTTGTTTCACGGTAAATGATGACAAGACAAAAAAAGGTATGCGGACACAAACTGATTTCAACACTGGTTTAATAACATTTTAACATTTTAAAGTACTTTTCGTCCGTCTTGGGACTATTCATAAATAATGTCATTGTATAAAGATGGACAGTATAGTATATTTATACATATTTACATAGTAACACTGTGGTTTTAATTGGCTATAGTTACCATTGTCTATGGTTACATAGTATATTGTTAACTAATAGAAACATGTATACACATGTGTTAATCTGTAGTATATGGGGTTCAATTTATGAACAATGAATGAGTTTAAGATAATCATGGGATAGATTTAAGAAAATTAATGAAGCTAATGGCCAATTGTTACTTATTGACTATTAAGTTGAGGAACATATTTTTTAATAAAATGATTTTCCATTAATTTCCTTTTCGTGGTGTCATCGACTTTCATTTTATAAAAAGGGAAAATTTGGAATTTTACTTGTAGGTGTTGTGCACATTTAAAAATATGTCTATTTACAAATAAGGGCCCATTTTCAATATTAAAATCCCGTCGATGGTTGCGTACACTATCCCGTAGATGCGATATCTATGTAATATTTCATATTTTAAATGTTTATATGCATAAAAGACTGTTTTTATTTTAAATTAGATATACTGTATATTGTTTTTATTTATGCATATAAAATCTTGTGATACGATTTAGCCTATCTCGAAAGAACCACCATATGTTTGGCGCAATAGAGCCCGGTTGGAGCTGGCATGCCATAAAACCATATTTCATCCATTCATTCATTCCCTGGATTCATTCAATTGATTTGATATTTGTTGTTTATTTCTCCCAATGTGTGTGTAGTTTGTCATGTCCACAGATTCGTCTTGTCAGTTTTGTGTGTAGTTTGTCGTGTCTACAGGTTCGTCTTGTTAGTTTTGTGTGTAGTTTGTCATGTTCACAGGTTTGTCGGTCCGATTTTGTGTGTAGTTTGTCGTGTCCACGGGTTTGTCTTGTCGGTTTTGTGTGTAGTTTGTCGTGTCCACAGGTTTGTCTTGTTAGTTTTGTGTGTAGTTTGTCGTGTTCACAGGTTTGTCGGTCCGATTTTGTGTGTAGTTTGTCGTGTCCACGGGTTTGTCTTGTCGGTTTTGTGTGTAGTTTGTCGTGTCCACATGTTTGTCGGTCCAGTTTTGTGTGTAGTTTGTCGTGTCCACGGGTTTGTCTTGTCTGTTTTGTGTGTAGTTTGTCGTGTCCACAGGTTTGTCTGTTAGTTTTGTGTGTAGTTTGTCATGTCCACAGGTTTGTCTTGTCAGTTTTGTGTGTAGTTTGTCATGTCCACAGGTTTGTCTTGTCAGTTTTGTGTGTAGTTTGTTGTGTCCACATGTTTGTCGGTCCGATTTTATTCAGTTTGTCGTGTCCACAGGTTTGTCTGTCAGTTTTGTGTGTAGTTTGTCATGTCCACAGGTTTGTCTTGTCAGTTTTATGTGTAGTTTGTCATGTCCACAGGTTTGTCTTGTCTGTTTTGTGTGTAGTTTGTCGTGTCCACAGGTTTGTCTGTCAGTTTTGTGGGTAGTTTGTCGTGTCCACGGGTTTGTCTTGTCGGTTCTGTCCTTGGACACTTACTTTTAATATTAGACTGTAGTAACTACAATATGTATGCCATTTTAGTACCGTAAGCTTACTTAATTGTTTTTGTCGTAAAAATGTAATTATCTGCTAACGATTATCTCACGCCTACACCTACTATAGGACCATTAACGTAAATAGATAAATTAGTATTCACAGCAGGGAATCAAAGTTCTATTTTTAGATTGTACATGGTATAACCGTGCTATATTTGGTTGTAATAAACAGCAAACAAACTATAGTATATAATAACTCACAATTAAAACTGAAAAGGGAATATAAGTTCTATTTTTAGATAGTACCTGTTATAACCGTGGTATACAGCTGTGATATTTAATAGTTTATAACACACCAGTCTCAAACATGCAATTAAAACATAAATTTTATCAAAGGAAATGAAATGGGGTTTAGTGGAATATAAGTTCTATTTTTAGATAGGACATGTTATAACGGTGGTATACGCTGTGATATTTAAAATTTTATAACACACCAGTCTCTGTAAATAGCCTGCAATTAAAACATTATTTTTTTTTTAAAGGAAATGAAATGGGGTTATAGCTTCCTACTTTTCTGAACCGGGCCTGACAAGGACAGCTGTCTAGTCCTTCGGATGAGACGAAAAACCGAGGGTCCATGTATACATTGGAATGCACGTAAAAGATCCCTTGGCAGTTGGAATTCGATATAAGAGTAGGCGATAGTGCCGCTGTCCTGGCAAAATTTCCCCCATAGCACACTGTATGGCGTATGCCCGTCTTCATTAGGCCAGGTTAGGAGCAGAACAGTAGGACGTTAAACTCCATTTCATTTCATTTTTTCTGAACCGACAGGGCTAAAGAATACAGGCATACATACACGTGCAGAAAAGTTATACTTTATAAACCCCATCTCATGTTATATTTCCGGATGTTTTGCTCGGAATATGTTCGATCCATGCATTGGCCGAGAAAGTTCATCCAGATTTTCCGGCGTGGTTTCCCCTTGT